GAAGTTAAGGGCTGCTGCTTTTGCTTGTGCCTCCTTCTTCCTCCTGGGGCAGCGTAGGAGAGAACAGGGCTTGGGGGAGACTGAGGACTCCATCCCCATTCGTTGGCTCCCAGTTCTGAGTCCTTGGACAAACTACCTAACCTTTCTGAACCTCATCGTCCTCATCTGACACGAGTGGGGATAGTACCTACCTCAGGGTTGGTGTGAGGATTATATGGGATATTGGGAATGAAAACGTGCACAAGGCTAGATGTGTCCCCAGTAGGCACTCAATAAACCTTAGTTTCCCTTTCCTTTGCTTGAGTCTGTCTTCAAACAAAATAGAGATTTCAGGAGTGTCTCAGAAACGACTAGAGCTGGTCACTTTCCCACTTTTGTCCCTTCGTTCTTATTGTGCATCTCTTCCCCACCAGGCCTGTGGCTCTGTGTGTACAGGGTCAGGTTCTTCTGCTCCTGCTTCTCCTGGCTACTCTTAGCCAGTGCTTCCAGTGTGAGTTACTAGCTCTGGACACTGTTAGAGGGGAGAAGTCAGAGACTCCTCCCAGCACCTTCAGGTGCCTTTGGATGACATGGTGGGTCCAATACTCACTTCCCCGAGACCCAAGACCTACCCATGTGGTCCAGTAGAATTGAGTGCTTGACACTAGGCTCTTTAAAGAAAGAGGCTTATTTCTTAGGTATGGTGCATGGGGCAGAGCGTGGCCTCTGCAGCCTGTCCACCCTGTGCTCCACCCCTGATCCCACCCTCACCCCTGCAATAAGTAGCCAGTAGTCTTCTAGCTTCCATTTAAATATTTCTGAAAAGAAACCTGTGGCCACTAGCAGAGAATTATCACCACATAAGTCAAATATTGCTAAAAAGAAACAAACCCTTGGTAAGACAGAAGTTAGAGGTTTATTGAATAACAGCCTCTTTGACTCTTGACAGATGGCCTCCCACGTGAAAAGTTGTGACTGTGAGAGGCCCATCTGTATCTCTGTCCTAGCATCCCCTGGTCCACCTGCTCAGTGTGGGTCCCAGCCCCAGCTGGCCACACTCGCCATCGAGCTTCTGGGTCTGTGGTCTTGTTCCCTTGCCAGGTCAGCGCACTCTGTATAGTCCCTGGAGGAACAGCTTCTCTTCCTCTTCCCTTGTCAGCAGAGCTGGCGTGTGTCCCCCTTGGTTCAGCTGGGGAGGCATCTACAGGTTAGAAGAGTCTCGTGCAGCACTGTTCTGTGGTTGTTAAGACACTGAAGGTGCAGCCACCCTTGGCTGGCACCTTAGCCTATTGCCTCGAACAGGGATGAACCACAGAGGCTCAGTAAGAACTGCCTCATCCCAACTTCTGGTGGCCCCAGAGGTTTTGGGTATGTCTGTCTTTAGTCTCACTCTCCTTCTGTAGGTTTCTCGAGTCTGGTATTTATTTAGCTCACTGGGGCTTTTCTTACAGCGTCCCTCAAGCGGCCCATCAAGCAGCTAAAAGGAGGGATTGAATATTTCGTGATCACATTGCCCCTTCTGGAGCTAAAAGCTCCCATTAGCTCTGTTGGTCAGTATTCTCTCCTCATTATAGCGGACTGGAGCAGAAAGGCTCCTTGGAACCACGTGCCGTGGAAGTCCTGTTTGGTCTAAGACTGAGCTTTGATTAGCTCTGGGCTCCAGCGCTTTCTTCTTCTAAATAGCTGGTGCCCTGCCAGTGGGTTTCCGTTTTAATCTTTTTCTGTTCTATTTCTTTGGTTCAGAAACACTCTTCTGCTTTTTTGGACTGACCCAATGGGCTTGTGTTGTTAAGTGCTTGGTATTTTGCAGTCTTTAGTTCTTTGACTCTCCCAAGAAGGCCTGAAGAAGAGCCTGTACTGCTCTCACGTTCATGTCACCATTTGAGATATTTTGGAGACTGAACCTTATGACTCCATATCAAAGTCTTCGCAGCCTGGCTCTAGATCCCTGATGCCTAAATTAGATGTCATCAATTGAAGTGTGGAAAAAAAGACGAGGCAAGTCTGCTTTCTTAGCCAAGCCTCTGAAGCACACATTTCTACCAACAAATATGTGCAAATAATGGGAGAAGAGCCCAAAGGCAAATTCATACATGGGTGCAAATGGATGCAAATATATTTCTACCTGCATCTGTATATATACATTTTGTTAGGTACAGAAGTAGAGCATGATAGGCTTGTCCATTTTTTTGGCTGCATGATGAAGTGACAAGAGTACGGGCTTTAGAATCAGGGTTGGCTTTGAATCTAGCTCCACCAGTAACGGGGGAGTCTCTTATCCTCCCTAAGCTCAGTCTTTATTTTGTTTTCCATAAGGATGAGATAACAGTAGCTTTTTTATAGGGTTGCTTTTAAATGAGAGTGAACATGATGCACTTATTTGGTGCCAGGCAGATAAGTGCCTATAACAGGATGTGATCAGCACAAATACAGAAAACTAGACTGATGGTGGCTTAAGCAATAAGGATGGTTAGCTCATGTAGCTAAGAGATCTGGAGATGGATGGCTCCAGAGTTGGGCAGCAGCCAAAATGTCATCAAGGTTTTCTTCCATCCATCAGCTCTGCCACTCTCAGTGTTGTAGAATGTCTGCTACAGCTCTGAGCATCATTTCTTCATGTGATGGTGTCTAAAGCCAAAGCAGGAAGCAAAGGGAACAGCAGTAAAGTAGCTTGATCCTCATTCTCTATCAGGGGGAATATCCTTCAGAATATTCAGAATAAGCCCCAGCAGATTGGCCCCTGTTTCTGTTGATAGAACTGGGCTGCATACCCACCCTTGCACCAGGCACTGGTAGACCACATGTCCCCTGGCATTAGGCACATTGTTGTGGCCTGTGAGATGGGGTTTTGTTAGTAGAGAAGACACTGGAGTGGCAGGTGGGCAATCCATAATGGCTACCACAATGCTAAAAAAAATACTATATTATAGTAAAATCATAAAGTACATCTAGGTAAAATTTTGTAAGTTATTCTATTAAACCAATTTTGGGCTGGCTGGTTAGCTCAGCTGGTTAGTTTTGGTGCTGATAACCAAACCAGTTTTAACACTTTAGTGCATATTAAGATTCCAAAATGTGGTATATATAATGGCTTAAATTATATGCTGTTTTATCATGTGCTTTGTCTCACTGAAAAGTATATACAGTTCTTCCATGTTAAGGAGGATCTTGTGTTGCAGATACTTCTGAGCTAGTTAAGAGAATTAAGGTAGCATCTTTTAATCCTCTTAGACCTACCCATGTGGTCCAGTAGAATTGAGTGCTTGACACTAGGCTCTTTAAAGGAAGAGGCTTATTTCTTAGGTATGGTGCACGGCCTCTGCAGCCTGTCCACCCTGTGCTCCACCCGTGATCCCAGCATAGGATGCCTCCACAGTGGAGGCATTTCTCATCCTAAGACTGCTGTAGCTCATGACGTATCTGGTATTAACAGTTCCTCCTGCACTGTGGTTCGGCTGAACAGGTCTCCACCAAATTTCTGCTGATGGAGCACGGGGGCTGGAGTACAGTTGGGTCTCGGGTGTCATTTGAAAAAAATGGAGATAGGGTGCCAGCTCTGGTAATGTCTCTGGATAGTCAACTTCTGACAGCTCTTCTAAAGCATTTCTTCTGTTCCCTTCCATCAGCAAAATCACTGGTCCATCTCCCCAAAAGCTGAGTCAGAAGTTGGACTTTTCCATTTGGCTCATTTACGTTTAAGACCTAGTCAGAAAAAAATGCAGTCTTGATTATCATTGGCCTGGTGACCTTATTTTATGTATTTTTCAGGGTTCAGTGAACAAATAGAAATCATTCTAGGTATTCTAAGCAGAAATATTTAATACAGGAAAAAAGCACGAATAGGCTCCTTGGAAGGTCTCCAGGAATGAATACGATAGAACTGATCTACTGAGAGAGCTACAGACCTCTGCTGTCATCAGGAAAGTGGAGAATGGGGAGCTCTATTGAGTTCCAGAACACTCCCATAGCTGTAATCCAAGGATCAGTAAGTCCCAACAGCCTCCACTGCCTCTGGAGAATCACAAAGCCAAAAAGTGGACTCCGGCACACCTGAAGAAACAGCACCTGCTGTGTGCTAGGCACGGTGGTAGGAGTTTAGGATACACCTGTGGCAAAATGGAATGGTCTGTGTCCTTGTGGGATTTGCATCCTAGTTGGGGGGAAAAGACCGTAGGCGTAAGGAGGATATAAGTTACAAAGCTTGTTAGAAGGTGACGGGGGTGGGAATTTAAAAAGACATTGGGGGAGGGGAGCCTGGGTGGTGAGGGACATGTTGCAATACGTAGGGCAGCCTCATTGAGAAGGCATTTGAGGAGGTGAACCAGGGGATCAGCAGGGGTGCAGAGTGTTTCTGGGCAGAGGGAGAGCAGGAGAAGAGAGGTGGGGATGGGGGCCCTGTCATGCAGGGCTGTTAGGCCAAGGTGAGGACTGTGGCTTCATCCTTAAAGTGCAGTGGTGAGCTGTGTTTCTTGGGTTTCACTAGC